CGACTCTGATTTATTGTCGAAAGCAATACGGGGAAGAGAGTTAGGGAAATACCATAAAATCCGGAAGTAAAATACGCAACGGTCCGCGTGGACGATAGCCGATCGTTCCATTCGGCGGTTCTTTACACTTTCTGCCCCTGCAGTTGGCATTTTATACGTTTGCCACTCGTTTAAAAGTATCTTCCACCATCTTTATTATGATATTTGACTTTATAATGGTTTTGTCTCACCAGAGTTCCCGCTGAAAGTGAATTTTCCTCAACAAAAATACTGAATTCAATTTCCTTCATTCGTCACTTGAACTTTCTTTTATTACCTTTTTCCAGACACTTCCCCTCCGGCTTTCCCGTGTTTCATTAATAATCAACTCGACTTACTTATCAGTGAAAATATTTAAAAACATTTCTCCTGCCAAAATACTCCATTTCCACCTAATAAACAATCTTCAATTATTGAATTTTCATTTTATTCACGTCTTTTTCCAATCATCGAAACTCCGAGTATCTCATATTATCGATGTCTAATTAATGATTTGTGATAGAACCCAATTAATTCATCTCCCAAACATTTTCGAAAATCTTCTGAAAAATCAACAAAACGAATATCGGATAATTCCCCCGTTGAAAAAACGGGAAAACGCATGCAATCCCCGACTCCTTCAATCAAAAATATTTCTCATCACCGCGAATTCAATCGAGCCCTGACTATTCCCCCCAAAATCCCAATTTCCTAATAACTTTTTCCTCAACCAGTAATCAAGTCAAGTAGTAAATCAGCATCGGTCAGGCAAGCTCCAGAGATACTTTCCCCGAATGAAAAAAAAAAATGAAACAAAAATCATCAAAACAATTTCTAATACTGCGGACATTGAATGCAGCCCTAGCCCATGCAATCAATTCGTGTTCCATCTAATAGTTCATTTCCTCCCTTCTCCCGGGGGTAAACAATTGCACCAGTCGTATCAAAACAACTCCAAATACAAATGTTTACACGACACTAAATTATTGGTATGTATTCCCCCACTGGGAATTCATACGAGACAGGTGAATAATAAATTCTTACGACACACACGAGCATTTTCATCTGACCAGTTGAGAGCAGAGGGAGAACTCTAGACGGTACAGCAGTGGCACATTGCTGAGGCCCTCCATACCATCAGCATTAAAATCATAGTATGCACGTATTGGTTGGATTATAGTTGTGTACCGTGGATTATGGAGGTGGAGGTAAAGAGCCTCTGTGCCTGCAACGGTGAAAGTCGACTCTCTAGATCGGGACGTGGGGCCGCATCAACCTTACCCCCCCCTTATCCCCCTTCTACCGCCCTCCCACCACCCCTCATTCCAATTTCAATGTACAGTATGTACTCAGATCCGCTGTCTTTTAATGTCGTTTTCCCATGGTGGTACATTGCACCAAGAACTTTAACTCTTATTCAATATGAAGTTGATGGAAAATGGAAATAATTTTTCCTTCGAGAATGGGGAATTAGAAAGGAAATTCACTTATTTACGGTGGATCATGGCTTTGATTGATTGAATTCAATCATCAGGGATTTTAAGCGTTTAGTTTTGATTAATTTTGGTATTTGGGTTTTCGAAAGTCTGAGAGAAATTTTTCAGGAATTTTAATTGTTACTCAAGAAGTGGTAGTCATTTTTTTTTATAATGGGTTAGATAGGGAATTTTATTTACTCTGTACCATCATTTTGATTGATCGAATTTTTGGGGATGATTCCGACAAAAATTACGGAACACTGAAAAAATTCCGTAGTACTTCCGTAAAATTTTTTTTCCCAACTTTTCGCTCTCAGATTTAAAAAAAAACATGGGATATTTACCTTCAAAATTTTTTCCCTCACTGCTTATATGATACATTAAAAAAAAATCCAGATATACCAAAAATGTTTGTTTTTTTCATAATTAACCATGAAAAAAAAACTGTCAAATGATTTTCTTCATAATTAAAGAAAATTTTAAATTTCCTTTTTTCTCAACTGAACCCAATGTTTCTTTTATCGATTGCACTTATCGTATGTATTTTCGTTATATACCCCTATGGAAAGACCCCACATGCAGGTGACGATAAAAAATGATTTAATGATCTACATTTACCTCTAGGCATTCCACAAGGTCCTGGTGTTCTAGCGCTGTCCAAAAAATCAAGATCATACTTTCTTGCACGTGGGAACTTGAGGGCAACATGACCGTAGGCGTAGTGCAGGAGATACGCCCCAACGATTACCCACATCCACACACCAACTCGTATCATCTCTGGAATTCGATTAGGCCTCAGCCTCATACAAAACGAATGAGTATTTTAACTCTCAATACCGTTAAAACGCAAAACCACAAGATGCGTTTGACCAGCCACCGGTCAGCCTCTCGTTTTATATATATAAATTCTCAATCTCTTCTCTCTGTCAGTTTCTCGTTGCACTTCCTATGTGGTTCGTTAAAATTTCAATCTTTCCCACCGGTACACGAACGACTTTCTGAGTGCGTAAATACGTCCTTGTGAGAACCTCATTGGAACCGCACAACAGCTGGATCTCGTCTCAATCTACCTTTTTT